TGTCATTACGGCCCGGAGGCATAAACTGGCAAGCGAAGGTAGTGCCTACAACATCACTTTATTTGCCCAATTTCGTGGTGATATCTCCAAAAATAAATGTTTAAAAAGTCCTATTACATACGAAGGCTCTCTATAGCTCTTCCCAGCTGCAACCTCTCTCCGGCCAGCTCCCAAACAATCGGCTAATTAACGGTGACATAGTTTCTCACGAAATCTTGACTGTATCTTGTATCATCTGGAAAACGAATGCCTTTTCCGTTGGTGGAATGTCTTCTTCCAAAAAAAACAATAACCAAGCGAAATGAGCAGCAATTTGAACCCAAATCCATCGCAAAAAGTTTCTGTTTTGAAAATCAAATTAAAGCTGTGAATCAGCAGCACTCAGTGAATCCAAATCATTCTCGATAAAAATTCCATTAAAAAGTGTAAAGACCAACGCATTCCACCGCCATCCCACTCTGTCACCAAATGTAACGATAGGGTTCTTCTTATGACGGTGAAGTATCAGTTCGTTGGCTGAGCGATGGGCTAGGCCAACGGGCCTAGCCCCAAGTAGATAGCACACAAGAGATACTCGTTATCTGATGTTATCTCTATTGTCAAAACAGTAAGACTAAATTATTCTAAGTAGGATTACATTATATTAAAGTACAACAAAGGAACACTGTGAAACATCACACAACACGATGACAGTGACGCACATTTCCCGGAAAGGGAGTTACTAACACAACAGCGTGACAAACAAACATGTGACATTAACACGCAACATAATCAAAGATCTAGCTAAACATAATAATAATAATTACTAAAGAATACAAGTCCTAAAACGTTACACCATGCCTCCCCCCACTTTTTGCAGAGCTAAAGAAAAACTTTAAGCAAAAGTGGAAATAAATGTAGTATATGATTCTGTAAGTAACTTTGCCTAGTATTCTCTTAAATGTGTCCTCAGCTTTACCTTGGTGGCTATGTCTTTACCATAGAAGACATACATAAAATTGAATATGGGAATAAGATCGAAGAAATCGGTCATTGTCTAAGTTTTACAACGAGAACAGCTCGAGTTAGCAAATAGATCGAGAAGCCTGGTCCAGAATAACTTGGTGCCATCACAAATTGACGGAGTTTCGTTTTTTCCATTGCCTTAATTTGGCACACAAGGTCTATTTGTTAGCGAAAACTTTCTCAGAAACATTATAAGAAGAGAGAAATCAGCTGTTGAAAGAAAATAAAACAGCTGGAAAGAACTTTTTTGAGGATATGAGAAATATAGTATGGATAGATTTGTTCTTAAAAAGTATTATCAAGAAAACTTCAGAGTTTGGTCGTTTGGATAGTCCATTCCTACTAAAGAAAGAGAAAAGATCGACGAAATTTTGAATTCTATTTAAACTCATTTTGACAAGCCCAGTTTGAAGGTTTTACAAACTTCTGTCAAAGCCTTTCCTAAGCCCTTTCAAGACTTTGATACTTTGGCCCCTCTACTTCAAATACGTTTCGCCGGCCCTGTAATATATTGTCATGTAATATATTCATTGCACTGATCCCAAGTATAATATAAGTTTTCACTGGCAATAAAATATACGCATAATTTATAAAACACAAACCTATTAGTAAATTTCACCAAATGTAAATATAGTACTATGTATTATATTAAATAAAGTTAGGCTAGAAAATATATACAAGTATAGAGATAAAGAATTACATTATATTTATATTTATATTTATATTTATATTTATTGCTCGTCTCCGCTCTGCTCCGCTCCGATAGCAATCCGGTATAGTGTAACTCTAGCATCAGTCGTGATTCAGGATACGAGGAATACAGGCGTGTCTTTTATTAGCGTATATGTCACAAATTGGTGACAGGAATTGCGACCAACATTATTCCGGAACGATTCAGATTCAACTCTGGCGAATTTTTTTCGTGGCTTCGACATTTTGAGCGCTGTGCTCAAGCCAACTCGTGGAACGAGGAAACCCGTTTGTGCAAGTTTCCATCTTTTTTCCAAGGACCTGCCGCATCCCATCTCGAATCGATGGACATTTGAGATCATAACGACATTCCAAGAGTTGGTCGACGTTCTGAAGAGCTGTTTTGCCCCTTCAGTAAGCCGGAAACAATATTATCGAGAGGACCCCACCTTTTGGCGGCTGAAAGACGCCCTCCACCTAGCTGAACCAGATTCATCTGCAGATGCATTTGATGCCCTTTTGCGACGACAATTCTTCAAAGGA